TTCCCCCCCCCCCCCCAACCAGCTGCCTGGTCCTGAGTCCCAGCCTCTGCCCCCGCCGTGCAGGCTGGGCGGCCAACTCCATCTGAATCTATCCCGGGGGCTGCCCGCAAGGCAGTGCCCATGGGCTGTGCATATGGGTTAAGGACGATGGGGCGCAGACTCGATGTCAGGTTTAAACCCCACTGGACTGCTGCAGAAATTGGATTCAACATGTCATATTCTTTAATGACCGCCCTGCCCTTGATCTGCCAGGGCCTCTCTGCGGTCTCACTGCTGCTGGCCCGGGGCAGTCCCGGAGGATGGGCACCCTGTGCCCGGCCCAAGCATCCACCTCCAGCCTGTGCCCCTGGTCCCCGCTGCGGCCCACCTTGATGAGCGACACGCCGATGGCATCCTTGCGCACGTGCTCATGGAGCTGCTCGCAGATGCCGCCCACGAACTGGTGTGGCACCACGAAGATCAGCACATCGGCCCCTGCCGCCGCCTGCACCAGGTCAGGCACGGCCACCTGCGGTACGGCCCGTGTCAGCCCCAGCAAGCCCATGACCCTGCACCCCACTGGGGGCCTAGTGACATTGGGCACACCCCAGACTCACGTCATGTGGGGCAGGCAGTGCCTGGTGCCCTGCATGGCCAACCCCAAGGGAGTTGGAGGGTGCCCGGGGGGACTCACGACATTGTCGGGCAGGCGGTGGCCCGGCAGGTACTTGACATTTTCGTGCCGGGTGTTGATGATGTCACTGAGCCGTGCACCGCCCACATCCTCATCGAAGACCCACAGGCGCACGGCCGGCTCAAAGCGCTGCAGCCGCGCCGCGTTGCCACCCACGATCTTGGCGATGGCGGAGCCCCTGCGGGGGCATGGGGCCGTGGGGGCATGCAGGGATTTGGGGGGGGGGGACCTGCCCGGGACAGGGGGGGACCAGGCTCTCACCAGTTGCCGGAGCCGACGATGCAGACCTTCTTGCTGCCCATGGCCGGAGTGTACCCTGCACTGCCCCCCACTTGGCTACGGTGGCAGCTTTATCCGCACACCCATGGGGGCCGCCCCCGGACCGCCCCGCGGGGAGGGGAGCAGGGCCAGACACCCTCCCCCCTGGCAGGACCCAGCCTCTGGCAGGGCTCCGGTTCCCTCTCCCCGCCCGGTCAGGGGGAGCCCGGCAAGCCTCTGCAGCTCTTTAAACTTGTAACCCAAGCAGCCAAAGCCTGAGCTCAGCAGCTGCGTGAGAGGCAAGTCCAAGCTCCCCCTGGAGGCTCAGAAAAGGGAACAGGGGCAGACAGGAGCCGGGCTCCTCAGGCGCTGTCCTCTCCTCCAAGCCGTTTCCGTCTCAGGCACCTGGATAATGTTTGCGAACCAGACAAAAGAGGGGCACAGAGCAGAGCCAGGGCAACCACAGCTCCTCATAGCCAACCGTGGCAGGAGTCGTGCCCACCTGCCCTCCTACATGGTTGCATCACCCCCAGCACGAAGGAGGGAGAGCAGCTTCCTTCCTTCACAGGAGGCTTTTATTACAACTGGGTGACGGCTACGAGGACACGGTACAAAAAAAATTTGGTCCATGAAAAAAACATAATGTTCAGTTAATAAAAACAGTAATTTTGCAACAGCTGCACTTGCCTCTGCAGTATCTGGCGCCCTCCATGTGCACGTGCCCAGAGGCACCGACAGCTGCTGCATCAGCACCAGCGTTGCAGCCCTAGTGCCACGGAAGGATACGCGGGAGGGCGCAGGGGAGAGGAAGGGTCGAGTCTATTACTCACATACACGTAGTTACACAGACACAGGGGCTAGGGCCACCCAGGCTCCCAGATTGGCAGCAGCCTCCCAGCCATGCCAAGGCAGGGAGTGCGCGCAAAAGGGGTGTCAGCATCACGATTCTGCAGCTATCTCCCAGAGTGCGACCGACCTCTGAGTCCGCTTGCTTCACTGTCCCATATTCAGATCCAGGTCAAAGAAAGCCACTCCCTTACACCCCGCTACACAGTCCCGAAAGCGAGGCTGAAGCGTGGCACTAATTCATCCCCCCAAAGAGACAGCAGCGTGGTTATGTCCCAAGGGGAGAAAACCAGTTTGCACATTCCTGACTCATCACCTGCCCTGCACCCAGCGGGCAAGATGCCGCAGGAGACCTGTCTCACCGTGACAGAGACTTCTGCTACTTATTGGCCTGGGATGCGGCTAGGGGAGTAGTCTGCCCCAGACTCCTGGCTCTGCGTGGAGCAGCATGTTTCTCCAACAGGCTGTGGTGCAGGATTCCTGTCTCTGTCAAAGGAGTGACTCTACTGCTCCTGCGAAGCCCAGCTACACCGTGAGAACTGTAGCTGCACCAGGGAGAACAAGTGGCCGCTTCACACTGCACATCAGCAAAGCCCTTGGGGTGCAAAGCCACACCTCTCCACTGCTTCTCCATCCCTGGCTGTGCCAACATTGTCTCATCCCACAGGCTTGCGGAAGCCTGGTGAGGAACAAGGAGGGAAGCGAGACATCCAGGGATGGACATGATGGTAGAGAATAGCTTCTCCCTAGTCCAGAAAAACTTCCTCAAGAGGGCTGTCCTACAAGGAAGCCCAGTACAGGGAAGGAGCACTGTCCACCTGCTTCAGGGCATGTCACAGGCAAGGAAGGGAATGGCTACAGATCTTCTGTCTGTATGGCAGATGGTGCTGCCCTGCCAAGAGGGATTCCAGCCCCTTGTTCTCTTGTGTGCAGTAACTAGATCCCAGCTTAGGGGGAAAAGGGCCAGGATGAGTTTCTGAACTCAAGAGAAAGTTGAGTCCACATCCGTTCTGGATACCAAGGATATTACAGGCAACCGGTACATAGGGCTTGGCTCTCGGGAGCTCTGGCATTGACCCAGCAAGTCAGGAAGGAAACCAGGTAGAAGCGTGCGATCCTCTGAGCTGCCTGCTCGCCACTTCCTCAGAGGGTTCTGGAGCCGCTCCAGCAGGGACTGTGCGAGGGTGGGTCGTGGCTGCAGGTCTCTGTGCTGGAGTGGGGTTGTGTGGGCCCTAACAGTGAACTGCAGTGCTCAGTCTCCACAAGTAGCTGCAATGCCTTCTGGTCGACGAGGAGTGGGGCTGCCTATGTGTTACGGATTCCTAGGGCCTGCTCCAGCTCCTGCCGTCTCTGCTGCACCTGTAGAAGCAGCCAAGGTCCCAGCATTAGTACATTTGCAGCCCACAAGAGGCCAGACTGGAGTGGAACTGAATGCACAGGCCAACAGTCAGCGCACACCCACTGGGGAGGGACTGCCTCTCCTCACTGCTGCACTGTACAAAGGGGCTAGGGAGCAAGGAAGCTCCTCCATCCTGGCAAAGCCCAGAGCTAGGGAACAAGCTAGGATTGAAGGCAGAAAGGAACATGGGTGTAATTAGTGAACACAATTGAGAATCACATGGGGAAAACCTGTCCCACCTCTGCCAGACCTGCCTTTGATCAGAATCAGCGCTGAACCCAACAACAGCTTGACAGAGAGTCTCCAGCTCCGCCGCTTATTTACCAGCATGAAGAGACCACCCACAACGTAGCAGCTTCAGGTCAGCAGCAAGTAAGGACTCCACGTCCAAGCCACACAGGCCAAGAGTGAGGAAGTATTAATCCCAGACCAGAGAGAGGCACTGGAGAGAGATGCATTAATCTCAAAGTGCTCAGCTTTACCAAGCAGTGGCAGCCTCCACCAGCTGGGGAGGGATCTCTTTGTGAAAGCTCACCTTGGAGTAGAAGTATCTGCACACAGCTTCCTGAGCCCACGGCTGGAAGTAGAACTCAGCTCTACGCTCCTCTTCTGGATTTCCAACAACATCGGTCATGGTCTGGGGACAGGAAGGAGAGCAGCTCAGAGCCTAAGAACAGCCTTACACGCTCTGAAATATGCACACTTCCTTCCCTAAGCCCCTACCAATAGGTACAGCTCCTTCAGCAGGACTTGGCCAACACCATCAGGTTTAAAACCTCCTACTCCATCTCAATTCTAGCCTTAGCTGCAGAGCTGCAAACTGTACAGCTGTACTTCCACACACAGGCAACCAGAGAAGTCTTTATTTGCCTTTCATACAAGAGGAAAAACGATTTTTACCTTTAGATCCCGGCATTGTGACTGAAGCCAGTCATTGATGAAGCCTTGGGGGTCCCGGGCAAAGCTGAGCATGAACTCCCGCTGGGTCTTCAGCTGGTTAATGGTTTCTATTGTTTCATGGATCTATGAGAGAAGTATAGCAATGGGATATTGTTGAACCAGGGAGCACAGTTGACCCAAAAGAGAGAGAAGCACTAAGGGGGCCAGTAAGTCAAAATGAAAATTACCACATCTCCTGGTTGGTACAAACTCGTCCAATTGCCCCAGCCACCCTCCCTGTATTAACAGGGCTCAGTAACACCCTAAGATTCAGATTCAGGATATATCTGTAAAACTTTACTCTGACGCAGCATCCAACATTTCCAAGGGGCTAACACTACCAGTAGGCCTGACAACTTCCATAAGGTAGCTACAGATTTCTGCCACAGTTTAAACCAAGGCACATGGCAATGAAGTGACATGCTTGAGATCTCAAGCGGAAAAGTGGCAAGGAGGACCCAGAACATGACTCCCAGCCCCCTGCTTCTCTAAGGACTGAACCAATTCCCCTCTGACCACTTGTTTCCGAACTTATTTTCTCAGTAAAGCCAGTGTTACCATCTGATTCAAGCTGTATAAATGGTGCTGCCCTCTTCCAGACACCAACACCGATAAAGCTGCGAGGACAAACCCATTTTGAAAGCTACAAGGAGAGTCTCATGACACCCAGTGTCTGCAATTCCACCCCACAGTGGAGAAAGACAGAGGCACAGAATCCAGCTGTACCTTGTTATCCAGAGCAGCGATTTCCTGTTGACTGGCTGTGGAGAGCAGGAAGGAATTCATCTGGGTTTTTAGGGTATCGTCCACTTCCACATCAATGTCATAGCAGGCTGTTTTCTTCTGGTCATTTGGATCAACGCTGGGGACATCACAGCAAAAACCAGAATAAGTGAGAACCTGAGAGCAGCTTTTTATTAAAGTCTTAACAGCATGTGGCTTCCACCCTCCAGGTGTATGGGTAGGGACAACTAGGGCTGGTGTTTGCACTGCACTGGCTTATTGTATCTGAAGCAAAACATCAACTGATGCACTGAGAACAGTTCCAGCTCCAGAAATACATAGGCTGCTTTGCAGCACTGGGGACTGGGTGCTTGATCTGGGTATAGTTGTTCAGAGATGATGCATTATTTTGGGGGCACTCCCGGGGCACAATGTAAGGGAAGAGAGGAAGTTTTTCGGAAGGGACTTGAAGCCTGAGTGCAGAACCTTGTGAAATGGGAAAAAGCAGCTGCTCCCCGAACACCTGGCAGAGTGAATAAAGCATGAACAGGTGCACAAAGAGAAGTGGTTGTGGTTTAATTCCCAGTACAACAGACATTTGACCCATACAATTTTAGACATCCTCCCTTCTGTCCAGAAACATTGCCCCGGGGTAAGCAAGTCTCACCTGATCACATGGTTAATGATAATTGGCTCTGGAGGCATAAGCAAAGCATGCAGCCTTTGGGGGATCTCTGAGAACTTCATTCGTTGAGACTCAAATATCTGCAACAGAGAGAAAGCTGGAGGTGGGAAATATGCAGCTTGGAGAATCGCAAGAGCCAAAGGCACGAACTTCCCCAGGCTCCCTGCCCCAGCCATGGGGCACCTTTACCTGCTGGAGGTACTTGTCACAGATGACATACTCCCGTTCATGGGGGTCCTGCAGTTTGTGGGTCTTGATATACTGCCACAGTGCCTGAATGATCACTGGGCGGGTCTGGGTGTGTATCCCCAAGAGACGAGCCAGGCGGGGGTCCAGCTTGAACTGTGGAGGCTGAGACAAAAGCATGACAAAGATGAGAAGATGAGGGCTCCCCCCCGGCCCTGAGCTGCATCATGTAAGCCTGCCTACCTGGTAGTCCAGCATCAGGAGGACAGTGCAGCGCACATTCACATCACCAGGCCTCTTCACCTGGAAGCCATCCGTCTCCTGGGTAGTAGCAGTCCTGTGCCACTGCAATAAGCAAACCAGGGAGAGAGTTTGACTTATGGACATACACTGCTAGGCGGCTCCCTTTGCCCCCACTGCCTGCCCAACAGAATGCCGTTCTATCTACTGCCATTTACAGATGACTGAGGTCCCTCCCCACACAGATCTCGTCCGTCTGACTTTGGGTGATCTCTGCCACACGCACTGCATTTGGCCAGAGAGCACTGAGACCACTCCGACATTCTTTCTGAAAGGAGCACAAAAACCTAGCCTTGGGGCTTAGAAAGTCCACCAGAAAAGCAAACAGATAACCAATCTGCTCAGCCTATCTTACAAGAGGGGGACTGAAAGAGCTTGGCTTGTTTCCTCTTGCAAAACAAATGCCAAGTGGAAATATGACTGCTACAAATGTAGCAGGAGACAAAAAGGCTATTTAACCTAAGAACAAATGGGCATAAACTGGCCATGAATAAATGTAGACAGGAACTGAGAAAGCTGTAAAGTGTCAGAACTATCAACTGGTTTGGAACAACCTTCCACCAGGAGCAGAGGGGGCAAACAAGACTAATGGCTGTAAGATGGAACGTGATACAACCTTGTGCCCAACACAGCAGGAGAGTGGACACAATGGCAAAGAGCCCATCCAGCCCTGTGTTCAGAGGTAAACTGTGCACAGAAATCCCTCAGGACCAAGACCCTCAGTGGTAACAGTGGGGCAGGACATACTCTGCTGCCTTCCCCAAGTTATTAGCTTTACTCAGAGTATGGAGAAATGAAGGACAGGCACTTATGCTGTTATGCAACAGCTACTCGTATGGACCACAGACATCATCTACTGCCTGCGCTGTTACAGATCTGAGGCTGCAGAGCCAGACGGCTAGAACTGAGAACACACATACACAACTGCCATGCGAGTGCTCCACAATCCTGCAGCATCATGCTTTGTAGCTCAGCACTTCTCACACTCCAGAGGCACTCTGATATTCTAATAATGATTTGTAGTTCAAAGAGAAGCTACCTTTTATCTCAAGATTTAAAGAGATTCATAAATTATGAAAGCTGCAGACCTAAAAAATTCATTCTCTTCCGCAACAGGCACCAGCCTCCACTCAAGATTTAAGTCAGCATCCTGCCCATTTCATAAATGTTAACAACTTGTCCCAAACTCATGACAAACCAGCAGCACAGTTGGGATCAACCTCTCAAGTTCCTGGCTCACACCTTTGTGCCAGCCCCTAGATAAGACCACATCTCCCAGGAACAAGACACGCACCTCCCCACTGCCAACATTGCAGCCCTCCCTCAAGGACAGTAAGGACAGCTCACCTCCACCAAGTGATTGTCTGGGCCATACAGGTCTTTATCCAGCTCGATGACCAGAGACTTAAAGAAGGATGAAAACTTCCTTTTCTGTTTGGTGGCATCATATTTGGACAGAGCTGACTGCAGCAGCACAGAAGAGGAAGAGTGTCATGGCAGCCCACCCCAGCCATTGAGCATACATAACAGGGCTGATGAAGATGATGACCTGAAGCCCACAGAACACTTGCCTCTTTACTGTGTGTTTTATCCCTTTCCCCATAAATCTGCCATAGAAACATCCCTATCCACAGGCTGGAGAACCAGGCATGGCTCTCTTACCCTTACTCTCCCCCGACCGATTTCTGTTTCATTCTTCCTGAACACCACGGAGGCCCCTAGTTACAGCCTCAACCAAGAGCTGGTCTGCCGTTGCAAGTCCAAACCTTTTAAATCACAACCCACTAGCAAGGGACTTCCATCTTATGCCCACTCAACCCACATTATCCAGACACTAATGCACCTCCTTTGGCCTCCCAAAAGGAGCCGCAGCTCTCGCACTCACATCCTCTAGCAGACGTCCTTCCACCCTGAGCTCCCATGAGGCAACAGTCCCCTCACCATCCTCTGCATCCGACTTGGCCGGATTGAAAGTGTTGGAAATGAAGATGCGAAGCTTTCGTTTTTGCTAAGAAAGTATCAGCAAAACATTAATGGCAAAACCCTAAACTTTAAATGCCAATAACCCCATCTCCATGCCATGCCCACAATCAAGACGCTTTCCCCCTGCCTTTCACCTCCCCAGCACGATGCTATGTAAACTAATCCCACGTCTGGGCAAGACAAAGGGTGTAAGCCACTCTGGCCATTCTCCTCCTCTACCTTAATGGGCCGTTTCAAGGCCTCCTGGATATCCAACCGTTTCCTCATGATCGTCTGGTCCAGTTTCCTTTCAAATGCCAGCAGATCCATGTAGGCCTGAGATTCGGGTACCAGCTCACGAATCTGTAGCAAAGCACAAGCCAGTCAAACACACCAGCCATGGTCAGCCTCAAACCGCTCAGCGCTTGGAGACTGCAAGCACGCGCCACACTCACCCTCTGAGGTAGAATTTTGTCAGCCATTTTCTTCTTCTTAGCGCTGCGTAAAAAGACACACATGCATTAGGGTGGCAACCTCTTTACCCCTCAGACCAGAAGGGGCTTTACCCTCAGACCTACAACTGTGTTGCGAGAAGCTCTGGGTCGTCCTTGGCCCTGGTTTCCCCAGTGCAGCTGTTATACTGTCAGCCCACGCATACAGCCCCTAGCCACGGCGGGGCTGGCACTCCACTCTGGCAGAGCAAGCTCTGCAGCACTGAGACCCCCTGATTCTCTGAACATCCCTGGTCTCTCAGGGGCTATGGAGAACCAGGGCTGCACTGAGTTGGGGGCAGTATTTTACTTTGGTACAAAGCGACTCTGCACTCTTGATTTAACATCGATTTAGATCTTGTAGTCAATCCTTTTTTTTAACCGACGGATAATGCTGGGCTGCCACCTCTCACCAAGGCACAACGACTGCTACGAAATTAAAAGAAAAAAGCCCAACCAACCCAGAGCTGCCCATGCTGCACCATCTGCATACCATTATTTCTACCTAGTTCAGGGGTGGGCAAAATACGGCCCGCAGGCCACATCCGGCCTGTCAGGCCATTCTAGCTGGCCCGCAGGTCCCCTAAAAAAACCGTTTAGAAAAGTAATATTAATTTGCTCCTGGCTGTCTGTCAAAGATGACAGGAGACAGGAGCAGTAGGACCCAGGGGAAGCCATCGGCAGAATTACACAGCAGCACCACCAAGTCCCACCTACCCTGAGCCCTGGCCAAAAGGGGCTTCTGGCTTCCAACTGTTCCTGCCTCCCTGTGCCCAGGGAAATACAGATAAGGAGGAAGGGGGGGAGGACTGCAGGCAATCGCCCCAGTCCTCAGGGCCACCAGGGACTCCTGGTGGCAAAGGTCTGGGGTTAGGACTTCTGGTCCCAATGTGGCAACCAGGGGGTGGGGCACCTATCACAGTACTGACAGCCTGCCAAAACTGGAAGAGTGGCCCTCCGCCCGAAATAGTTGCCCGCCGCCTCCCAGTGACACAGCCGCACAACGGACCCCCCCCACCCAGCCGCACACCCGAGACTGCAGCCCGGGCAGGCAAGCGCTGCTCCCACTCGACGCCGGCGCGCGCCCCGGCAAGCGCAGACACACGGCTCGGCCCCTGCTCACGGACACAGCTCCAGGTCGCCACTCCGGGAGAGTTGGGGTGCCCAGCGGGTGGGCGCTGCAGGACCCTTACTTGTGGTTGCGGTTCTGCACGGCCTGCTGCTGCACCTGCTGGATCTGCTGTGGCGCCGGCCGCTTGCGCGACTGGTCCAGGCCGGCCTGGGCCATGCCGGGCCGCACCGCCGG